GCAAAGGAGGGCGAGGAAGACTGGGATAGTTATGGCTGGGTGGAGTAGAGAAATCATCGGATCCTTTATGCAGTCATGCAGTCTGCACTTGACTCTGGCTCAGCTTGCATCTGGGAAGTTTCATGAGAACCTGCGGAAGAGCAATGTTTTTATATGTATGGCTGTCGGAGAGGAAATGGAGTTGGGAGTAAATTGAATGAGAGTGCTAGGTGATCTCGCAGTCAGTAACTTTCTAAGAAAATACCGCAGCGAATTTTCATTTCCTTTCGTCGAAATGGAAAACAATCGACGAAGACGCGCTCACTTCTGCGCTTTTTCTAACGTAGTTGTTGTTTGGTTATACATATTTATGAGTGCTTTATTCGTTTATCCGGCGACTGCTTCTGCCAGAAGGTTATTCGATTGCGAGAGGCAAATAAACCTCTGTTCGAGTCGCGCGTCTGAACGCGTACGTACGTCTTCTCAGGAAAAGATGTCCTGAATTCCGAAGGAGGCTGTAGTCTCCTCTAGGCTTACAGTCAAAGGGATTCCAGGGACGCCATTGTCCTTGATATATCACTCCGGCGAATTTAGGCCAGACGGTCATTAATGCCCGTTATTTCGCTTTCGCGACGGTGCCGGCCCGAAGAAATGCCTTCGTCGTCCAGGAAGTTTCTTAGTGGGACTGCCCGAGCTCGCAAGAATTTCTAGTCTTGCTCGTAAATCTCGACAGTTTAGCCGAGCTTGTCTTTTATTTTTGTTAGAAAATCGTTAAGCCTCCGCGGTCCCGATCTACTACGTTTCTCCATAGAAGGCAGAATCTAATGCGCCCGTGTGATGGCAACCGTCTAGACTCAGGAGGTTTGCTGGTCCAACCTCAGATCGACGCTATAATCGCAGATGAGCTATGCACCACGTTGCCACGCTTCTTTGAGCTTTGATAGGTTACTGCTTAGAATTAATTGCTCCCTGGATGCTACTAGCATTTAGTCGACTGGAAGGGGTTTATGCTGAGGTCCATGAAGGTGGTCAAGGATACCTTAAGATGAGAATACAAATCAATCTCATTGAAAAGACCTCTGATTTGTACGTTTGGCTTCCATACTAGGATAATATGAACTTTTTTTGGTCATTCGTGTAATTCAAGAAGCGAGTCCTGTGTGGCAGTTTGGCGTCTGATCTCAACAGCAACCTAAGGTTAAGCGGTAGAACTCGATGTGCCTATTTGCACAAACTGCAAGTGGTTTGTCTGATCGTTCATTTCACTAACTATCGTAATATCTCTAGTGACTGCCAGCCTCTCTCTCTCTCTGTCTCTCTCTCTGTCTTTCTCTGTCTCTCTGTCTCCTTCCCTCTCCCTCTCCCTCTTATTCCCCATCTCCCTCTCCATTTCCCTCTCCCTCTCTCTCTCCCTCTCTCTCTCTCTCTCTCTCTCTCTCTCTCTCTCTCGTATCACGTACCTTGTCGTATCTATCTACAGTGCGTACGTATAGATCGTGATGCGGCTGCTCTCGTTTTCTTTGTTGTGTTATCCCGCTTTATAGATGGACATGTGTAGTTCGGTAAATAGAAAGAGAGAGAGAGCGAGAGAGAGAGAGAGAGAGAGAGAGAGAGAGAGAGAGAGAGGGAGAGAAGGACCTCTCGTGTGGAATCGTGGCTAAAGTCAGCAGACATTACTGTTCTTTTTCATTCCGAGGAAAAACTGGCAATGGTTGTTTTCGATTACAGAGCAGCGCCGGCGGCACCGCCATTATAGCAGACACGGTGAATTAATAATGGCGAATCAGCCAAGCACTAACAACCTTCTCTCACGTCGTTCTTCCTATTCTAACAACCGAGAGGTTTCTTGTACATTGTTCAAATTGTCCGGTCGTTCCTAGTCATTGATTCAGCCAGATAAAGGATTTCCTTGGCAAACTCCTGCATAGAACTATTTCTTCTACTTACATTTACACATGTGCATGCTATCATATAGTTATAGGTATTCTGGAGAAAATATACATATAGTTATAGTATAGGGTGGCAACTAGAAAGACTAAAGGGTTTGAAGCGGTTTTTATTTTATATCATTCAATATTTCAGTGGCCACCCTGTATAACTATAGCATAATACTGTCTAGCTATTCCCGTAGGAGAGACCATCGGAATACCGCTCGAAGATAGGACTAGAGGATTCTAATTTAGGAAGGATGTTAGAATTCGGATTATTCGAGATCCTTGGATGCTAAACAACCAGGTTTCTGCTGGGTCAGTTCGAGAGTATGAGATGCCAACGGAAACCTGCAGATGGCAACTTTATTACCTCCCTCCCCCTCTCTCTCTCTCTCTCTCTCTCTCTCTCTCTCATTTCTCTTACTTTTTAATTCTGATCAGTGTAGAAACGTTGCACACATAACGAATTATGTAAAAACGGGAGGAAAAGGTGACTGGTAGGAGGGCATAATTACTAATCAGGAATCTCATCCTGAATTCGCGAAGATCTTGATAAAAAAAGAAGAAGAAACCGTCATATTGGGGTGACAAGGAGAATTCTCCTTCATGAGGATACTAAACTCTGTGTCTTCCTTACCAAATTCTTCTTTTCTTTCTCTTTCTCTCTCGTCAATCTTTTTCCCTTCTTACGTAATATTAATAAGTGGAGGAGGGTGGGCTGAGGCATTTATGTCGTCAGAGCGATTCAAAAGTATATCATGATTGTCTTGAACATTTTCACTAATTTCATTTCTCATTCTCATTTGCCCCACTTTCTTACTTTTCTCTAGACTTGTATTAGAGATGCTATCTATAATGAGAAATCTCTGATTGACTCTCGTGTCATTGCTTCTCGTTCTTTCATATTATAATTTCAGTCTCTATTTATTCCTGCATTTGACTCGTGGAAAAGATTCGCTTGTGGAAAGAGACAGCTGCGGCCTAGTCGACCTTCATCCTCAGGTCCCTTAGGAGCATCTCGGGGCTCCGTTTGTGCTATTCTGCAGAAAGGGGGAGGAGGGAGGGGGCCTACATCGAATTAAAAATTAGATTCGGGGTGGTAGGGGAACGCTACAGAAGGGGAAACACAAGAAACGAAGGAAAACTAAGAGGAAAAGTGAAAAGGAGGGCAAGTAGAAGCAGTTGGGCGTAGGTTGGGACACCGACTATCGGCTCGTAACGATTCGATCAATTGTCAAGCCAAAAAACAAGATAATGTCACGGGAGAGTAAAATCTACTGTGTTCAAACTTTATTTAGAGTGAAAAGTTCGGCGGGCATTATGCGACTGTGTCGACGTCCCCTTCACATGAGAAACTCGTCAGTATCCAGAGTGCGCTTGGTGTGCAAGGTATAGTATATGTATGTATAACTCGAGAGAGCACTCTCACGGGAGCTCCGCAGGGCCGAGGCGCGCTTATCGCTTCGGAACAGCCAATGTCCGCCCGCTTCATTCTTCTTCACACTCTCAGTCCAGCTCCAGATAAGTTATTAGTCCTAGATTCCCTATAGCGTCAGAGGCCATTGAAAATCCTGCAGGAATAGGAAGGAATAGGAAGGAATAGAGAAGGGAGTTTTGCTGGAGGACGTGTCGCTGTGTCGCTAGTACTTTTGGTAAGGTGTCGCGGTAGTCTAGTATAGTGAGTCAATTCTAGAGAATCTAACTGTAAGTCTCGTTCTATCCTTCCTTCTGCCATCGGTCTCGTGCTCGTCTTCGTCGTCACCGCTCAGGGGGATGTAGTCCAGGAACGCTTCAGGGACTGGGGGATGAGACACGAAGTGGCAAAGAAACACGCAAACCCTGTTAAAGTGGGCCGCGCCGTTTGCACGGTACCGAATTTCTCCATCCCTCCCTCTCCCAACCGTTACTCTTTACTCTTCCTCCCCTTTTCCAAATATTCCGACTATCAAGTTGCCTGTACGTACACGTTAAAACAGTTTCTCCGATTCGTAGGGGAGCTCCAAAAACGAGAGTATGACTATTACAGTTTGTTATATGCAAATTTAATACATTTTATCTATCGGACCTTTTTGATTTGACTTTTCGTAGAAAACAAATAAAATTCATACCAAATGGGCCCCTTAAATATCAGCGCAAAGAAGTGTGTCTCGAAGCAGGACCATTCGAATCATGCGGTCGCATCTATAGTTTATTAACGATTGACGAAAGATTAAGTAACTTCACGAATGCAGAACATTCACATAAGCGGCGCTGGACATTTGCAAATTTCATTAAGTGATTTACTCGAGTTGACTTGTCCTGCAAATGTCTACAGCATTAGTTTAGCCATTTTCCTGGAATCTTTGGTGCAGTTACCTGTTGACGAGCATGTTACGTGCGGTGGTGCCTAAAAATGGAATTTCGTAGGACGTTATTGGTAGCAGTGATTTCGACGAACATCAGGCCACTGGTTAGGTTGGTACTGTCGTCCAAAGTCGATTTGCTTTGCTCCCTTCTACCTTCGAACAAGCTCTTGCCTCGCGAAAAACCCATCGATCCACTTAAATTTTATAAATTGTACGTCGTTTCGAATTGAAGTTCGACTTTTGAAGAATATGCACTTCGTCATTCTCCCAACTAACAGGGTTCGTGTAATCGGGAAAGAGCTGTCGATTCGGCTGCTCCTAACTCCAGGTTAAAGGTCGGAGAAAGGTTGGGTTAGGTTAAGTTATCGATCGACAAAGGCGCCAACCGACCTCCAAAATGAATACACAAAGTCTTGAGTTGCTTCCATCACTGACGTCACATCCGTCACCCCGCATAACCTTCGACGTTTACCTCACCTTCCCCTTCTTATTCTTCCTCCTCCAACTAAGGAAGCACTGAGTATCTCTGCCGCTTGCGAATGACTGATTGAATTCGAAGAGCCGAGTGGACGTCCAAAGCGTCCTAAACTAGACTGGAACCAGAGAAACCAGAGAAACCAGGGAAAACATAACTGGCAGTGGCGAGTAACCGAAAGAATCTAATGAGATCTAATGTTTGAATAGAAATTGGGATGACGAAAGATAAAGGATAAAGAAAGGTTGAATAAATCGAAAAGCGTCATTGTTGTGTAATAATATGGAATCTTTACTTTTGGCCACGCGATCGGGCCAGTCTATGTTCCTCGTCGTCGGTGGTACTGAGTCTTTATTCTTTATAACTTACTGATGCTGTTGTTTATGCAGAGGTCGGTGGTAACAATGCCGCTGGTAGCGGCAGTCATCAATCGATTATATTAGTGGTAGCGGTATTGTCTCCTGGTAGATTTCACAAATAACCACATTCGGCATCAAACGAATCAACGAAACGATAATAGGTCGTTTACGTAGATGGCGAAATAACGATCTAATGTGTAACAATATACATATGCGTATAATGATCAACCGATGTCACTGTATAGGCGAGAGACAATCGCGAGACGCGATAAGCATAAACACAGACCCGTGCGATCACGCACACGCGCTCGCATCAGAAGTTATCCTCGTCAGCGTCATAAATATTACTTATTTTGGCGTTCGCGCCTCGCGCTCACATCTTCACATTTTCACATCATTCATTTTTTTGGCATTAGTTAAACATTCATTATATATATATATATATATATATATATATATATAATATAGTATTTGTATATATATACATATATTTTTCATATATATACCTATTATAATAATTCATATAATATTTTATTATTTATTTACCTAGCTACGCTTCTCTCTCATGCATGACAGAACTGTTTACAATGTCTATGGCTACCCGGTGGGGCTGTCGGTTCCCATTGGCTTCGGAATTATTTTCGATTCTTGCATTCTGTAGTATTGTTTTGTATCCGTGCATTGTCCTTTTCCCTCTGCCTTTTGTGTCACTTGCGTTACCTGTGCCAAATTCGGATTCCGAATCGAGGAAGGGCTGCTGCTTCCGCTCTCCTTCAGTGTCTTTCTCTTATTTTCTTTGGCGCCCTCGTCTTGCTGGCTTCGATGCTTGCTAACAGTTTCTTTGGGATACGTTGCAATGGAATGATATGGGACTTGGAAAATTCCAATTAACTCACATGGAATGATATGAGACACGTGTTCGCTCGATCCTGATCGATTCGATATTGTTTCTTGGCCGTTCATTACTACACCACGCTGTTCAGAATAAGTCGAAGGCACGAGGCGGGTCCGAAGAATGTGCAAATGAGACGAAACAATGTGATGCGAATGACAGGAGAGGTGAGGTCGGAGCACATGAGGTTAGGTTAGCCAAGGAAAGTGGCTCCAGGGGGAGCGAAAAGTAATGAAGGTCTATGGGCGTCTAGGCTTCTCGCTCGTTGAGGTACGAGTCCTTCAAAAATACATTGTTTTTAAAAAATATTTTGGTATTTGCCGCTCTCATCTTTCGGTCGATTGGAACGCAGACACACGCACGCACGCGCAGCATCTCACAGGGGGTTTTAAAGCTTTTTTTTCATTAGAATATAAGGGTTCCTCCAGCCTAAAATCTTTGAATATATATTTCAATATTTTTCTTTATTTTTTTTCCTTTCAGTACGCCTTTATCTATTTACACATCTTTTCTCTTTCATTCGCTTCCAATGTTCTCTTTCCATCATTTTCTAATTCGGCATGATAAATTTCACATTTTCTGGATAGTAGAGTCACGCCGCTAAACCGTGATAAAGTCTCTTGACTTCGCTAAATTTTATTACTGTATTCCGTTAGATATGAATTTTAAAGCAATCGCGCATATACCGCAGCCATACATACATATTGTTATTTTCCCTTTTCTTTCTCTTCTCCTTCCTTTTTATTTCACAGCTTCCCCGACGGCCCCCTCCCCCTTCCCCCTCTCTACAACATCTCAGCTTCTCTTTAGGCTATACAGTTATTCGAAACGTCTGCCACTTTTGTATTTCCGACGATACGCATCGGCACGAGATAGTGATCCTCGTTTTCTGGATTCTCACTGACAATCACTGACAATCAGTGACAATCAGGGACAATCAAGGACAATCAGGGACGGCGAGATCGGTCAGGATTCTATTCCTCTCGCCATGGTCAGCGATTAATAAGTTGCGCGCGGCCGTTATCGAGAGCAGATTCATTCGACTTCTCGATCCCACATTCCCTCTTCTTTGGTTATTTTGCCTCCGTTCAAGTTTCTCCATTGCGCGATTCGCCAATCACGAGCTCACAATATCGAATCAGAAAGCCAACCGATTGCCTTCAACTTCAATTACTCTAAATTCTCTATACTTATTAGACTCTTTTGCATTTCTCACTTTTTCCTTCGTACATTGCCAACTTGGAATGGTCGCTCACGCACTCACGCACATTTTATTAGCTCCGTATCACATCTTCACGTTAGAAAATAGTGCGACGCGTGCACAGCTCAACTATTTGGTAGAATCCGACTAATCGTTAGGACTTACGAGGCTTCAGTTACTTTGTTACCTACATTACGGTAGTAGGAGGTGCGTGTCTGCCCTCTCTCTTCGTCCCCCTCCCCGCGTCTGTCAACGTGTGGCCGTGTGTGGCCGTGTGTGGCCGTGTGTGTCGTGTGTGTCGTGTGTGCGAGTGCCAATAGAGCGCACCTGTGCGACTAACACGCACCTGTGTCCTGCTGCTCTTATACTTGCTATGCTTAATAATTGTCGTTTGCATCTGTTTTACGAGACGAAGCGTAATTCGTTTTACTCTGCCATCTCGCTTCATTAACTTTGCACTCTGTGTCCTCCTCTTAGACTCTTGATCTCTTTGTAGGAATTCGTCAATTGTCTTATGATTGCTAGAATATTGCTAGAGCCACAGACTACTATATTGAGAATGAAGATGAGGCGCAACATTCGTACGGGGGTGGGGTTCGGGAGAGAAAGAGCACGGGGCCTTTCGGAAATAATTTAACCAAATGGTGCCGTCAAGGAGATAATCTCGCAGGCTAAATCGGCAAGTTTCCTTTTCGTATTTCTCCTTCTTTTCCTGGAAAATCGAGCCGTTAACGTGAACGCGCGCGTGACGCCGGCGTCGATTCGGACACGCTCATCGGATCGAACTAATCTCCGAATGGACGCGTGGGAATTGATTAATTTAGCGCGGATTAACGAGGCTCGGCGGTAGCGTCCAAATGAAAAGCGAAGCGATTCGCTGCCACGCGAGTCTCTCTCTCTCTCTCTCTCTCATATTCTCTAACTCACTCGCTCACATACATGCGCGCACCTATTCTCATTATTTGTTCTCCCACGAGCAATCGTGCAATCGATTTGCCTCGTTAAAACAAACGCAGGGCAACAGTCAAATCGTAAGAGCAACAAGGAGGTATCGGGACGAGCGAGCATTTCACTTGTCATTCTCATTATCAGTTGTTCAGCTGGTTACGTGAAATCATTTCAATTTTTATCTGCAACGTAAGAAGAGTCGCGATGCAATGGGATGCTGCAGCAAAGGAGTATGGGCCGAAGGCCAAATATTCTTTTGGTTCCGTTGATAAATCCCAGGATGGCTGTCTTGGTGAGGGAAAAGTTTGTTCGACGATCTGATAGCAATCTGCGCGCTGGCCCGTTGAAGGAAAATCACGAGAACTCGGGGAACTCCTACAAGAAGACTCATCACGACCGGTCCAGGACTCGTTCAGGACTCGATTCGCTTCGCCGTGGACGCCTTTGCCGATTCGATTACCTCGTTAACCTTATCTGTGCGTGACGGTTCTCACCGTGGATTGTGGGACTGCAGACGACGAGAAAGGTTTCCACGACGCGGACGGTTCGATTCTCCCAGGATGACACGTTTCCAAGACGGGGATTACCTTGGCTTCCCTTTCGTTAAGTTTTACCTTCTAAAGGCTGCTGTCGCTTTATACAATCCATATGCATTCTGTCTTTGGACGTTCTCCGACTTTCTCACTCCCTCTCCATCTTTCTCTCGACTTTGCGACTCGCGTCAAAAAAAGCACAGACTTACGCCGGAGAAGAGCAAGCTTACGGCACACCGGGTCAGCCTCTTCTATATCCGTTTGCTATCCTCGAGGAACTCTTCTCTGTTGGTTATATTATGCCTCCAGTAAACTCTGATTACACCTATGCTATCCGTATATACTGGCTAGATCTATATACATGTACATAAACTCGCTAGGTAGCATTTGATGTGATAACATTATACCGATCGCAACGTCTCAACGCTTACACCGATTTACCTCTAGTTTATTCAGAAAACTATTATCGTTACAAGGAGTTCTAGCGTTATTAGTTGTATAGTCGCATAATGGCTGTGTACGTGGCTTTAAGTAGAGAAGGCTAAGTCAGCAGCAGATCCTGACTTCGAGGACTCATCCGGAACATCAATCACGATCCAAGTTAATAGGGAAGGTCTAACCCTCCATATGCCTTCCTCCTTTTCCCGTCTCCTTTATCCTTTCTCATGGAGTCATCCATCTCGATACCAGTTCTACTCTCTTTCTCGTTAATGCTCTTTTCGTTCTTCCTTATTCACTCTTTCTAGGCAATTTCATGTAATAAATTTCGCTTTTCACGTATTCATCTACATGGACTTTTGTGTGTAATCAATTATTAATTCTTGCCTTTTTCGTAAATCCAACCACTCAACAAAAATCGTATTTCACGGGTTCAGACGTATAGTATTGTTCTAAAAAATGTTCCTTTTTGGGGAAATACGGATCGATAAGGATGATTGGGTTACCGATCTAAAGACAGTCAGTGCTTTGATTATTTATAAATAACATCGATTGCGAAGGATCGTTGGACCTACGCAGGCACGTTGCACACATTCAATTGTTTACCAGTCGAGACATTCAACGAGTACAAATTGTTTGGGATTTGACGTAGACGTCGAGGGAGAATTCATTATTTTTCATTTTCTCCACGTTACTGTGTCTGAGTTCACGCAGGATTTGATGTTTGAATTAGCTAATGATCCGTGGATGCTGAGATCCTCATCGACTGGTTCATCGATTATCTTCGAGATCCGTAGGAGAGGTGTACCTTCTTCCACTGGCCAATAAAATTTGCAAATTGACAGATGGTAGTTTTGCATGTGCGCGAGGAACCGTATCTCGTTGGATGAAAAAGATGGTCCAGGGTTCGAACGAAATTACGCAGAGAAACGGGTACAAGGACACGGAGCATCGAGTTGGGCAATCAGTCAGGTCGCAAATCAGTAAGTCGAGGAATGATCTAGAAGGTCTAGCAGACCATGTGCTACACGTGCTGAAAGAGTCTGTGAAGCTCATTAGGCGTTGGGGCTGCGCTCCCTTGGGGATAATACCAGGCGCTTTGTCCCTGGCTGTGGGGGTAACTTTGCCTACTCGTGCAGGTGACGCAAGTGCACCCCTTGCCGCCATGACACCAGTCGGACGAGTTGGCTGTCGATGCTGGCAAATAGCTACCTAGGAGCCACTGATCTGCCGTGTTCGAGACCGACATGCTTTGGTACTGCTGAGGGTGGGAGAGCTGCGAGAGGACTTGATTGGCAGCGAGGTTGTGGTGGGACGTCGAGTGCGATAGCTGACTCTTCTGCAAGGCTAAACCAGTAGATAGGCTTTGATGACGCTGATGAGTTCTCGAGGATAAAGCGAGGCTCCCATCGTTGTCACTCGGGTGGGTGCTGACAGGCAACCTGTGACCTTTCGTTGCTGCACTGCTAGTAGAAGGCGTGTTCGCGTAGGATTGGCACCGCGGGAGAGATTGAGCCTTGGTACTGGTCCTTTGGGAATTTGGTATCGTCTGCCCAGTCTCATATCCTGAATGCGGCATCGCACCTTGGGAATACGAGGTGGCCATGTTTCCGATGCTCGGCAGTATTCCTGGCTGATCGAGGCCGTGGTGCCCGTTCTGACCAGTAGTCAGGGACTCTAAGGAATTTTTTGGAGTTAGGATAGCCGCAGAGGGTGTACTCATTAGAGAGTGCTGTTGCTGGAGGTTGCTGGAGGACATCTGGAGCTGAGGGTGCCTGCGCTTGCTGGCGCCCCACCTCCTGGACGTGGCACTGTTGGTGTTGGCACTGTTGGCGTGTTCCGGGGCTCCGGCCGGTTCCTTAGCCCTCGTTCTCGTAGGGGCTGCTGGAGCCTGTTGGGGTGCGGGTACTGCACTTGCCCAGGGCTGCAGCCTCGCGTAGGGGTGCGGCTGCGGACGGCATCCTCTGCAGGAGACCGCAGCTATGCCTACGGCAGGCTGACGGTGCTGACTAGTGGCGCCCGAAGTTTCTTGACCTTGCCGCTGTTGCTGCTGGGACTTAAGGTCGAGCAGAGAGACCGCACCACTGGGCATCGACAGCAAATCTGCAACAAGGAGAGACCAAATTTCAATTAGAATTACGTGCATTTGGATGTCCATTGGACGGTCATTGAACGTGCAGGATGGCGGCGCCCGAGACGGAATGGCCAAATGACAAGGAGGAGATCTAGCCAGAGCGAGGCTAAGATTATAGGACAAAATCGCAAGCGGACCCGGTCACGTCCCAAGTTCCCGCAGGTTCCTACTGCCTAGGAGATTACTACTCATCACTGAGTGAGTTCGTGCTCTGGTCCGTTCTCAGTCTCAGGATATAGCTGCACTAATAACTTATTGTTTGCTCGGTAGATTACTTGGCCCCATCAGACCACTCAATTCCCTCCTTACTCATCCTGGTGTAGCTCCAAGGCATGGTCCATGCCACGCTTATATTTTTAGTCCGTGGTCTGAATAGAATCCTTTTCCGCTCACCTCCCTCGCGCTTTCTCTTTCTCCCTCGTTTCCTCTCTCAGTTTCCTGCTTGATTTCGCTACTATTGGAATTCCTGCCTGAAATGTTCATTCCCTGAAGCTTTCGTTAAGCCGTTACACCACGTGGAATCGCAACCCCCATAGACGGAGCCTAAGCCACCATTATCCTGGGGCGAGGTGAGATCTATCATGTAGAGCCCATCGTGCACCGTGATAAATAATAGCTTGTGAGGGGTTAGGGGACGGTGCCAATGTTGTCGACGTTGCCAAGGTTGCCAACGTTGCCAACGTTACCAACGTTACCAACGTTACCTATGGGTATGGCCGAGAGGATCGACAAAGTCGATTTAGTCGCCATGCGATACGCTGGAAAGTCTAGGGTCCTAAGCGAGAATGCGTATCTCGTTTCGCGGATGTATGTTACGCTCTCTCCGCGCTTTACGTCATAGGAGACATGAATTCTATGAGAATGCGTGAGAAAAATAAATGGCATGAGAACTGTTAAGAACTGTTATGGAGGTAATAGGTGCTGATACGAGGAAAAGGAAAGAGAATGGTAGATTGAAATTGGCGAAGGATTTAGAGGAATAGACGGTGCGAGATGCAGATTGCGCCACGTGCTAATGGGCGCAGAGTGCAAAGCATATCGTCGAGCGAGTCTGAATAATTGAAGAAAAACGAGGACATGGATGGAAGCCGGAAAGATGCCTGGTTAATCTGTATTATTAGACTAATAATACCTGGAGTGCTTTTAATCGAGGTTATTTATTATCCACGCATTAGCTACACGTTAGCTAAGGGCTTCTTTAACAAATTTCAGATCGCGCAACTAACAAACTGTGTCCGATGTCGGTGTGGCGTAGGATGCCACTGAACGCTTACGTGCGTTTACCATGCACGAGCCTCTCTCTCTCTCTCTCTCTCTCTCTCTCTCTCTCTCTCTCTCTCTCTCTCTCTCTCTCTCTCTCTCTCTCTCTCTCTCTCTCTCTCTCTCTCGGTCTTCATTTCCTACTACTCGGCCCTTGGCTCTGCGCCCTCAACCTACGCGTATCCTGAGCCTGGCACGGCTTTACGCGCGGGACTACGTGCCCGCGCGATAAATTCAACTTTGAGCTGTAAAAAGAGCCCAGTTCGGCTCGGCTCTGCTGATTTTTTACTCTCGAAACGGAGTAGGCGGCTGCGGCTCGACTACGGCACGAAATTAAATCGTAACTCGAGGCGCTCAGCTAGCAGCTCCATCCACCCCTTCGCCCCTTCGAGCACGCCTGCCGCCGGCACCCCTTTGGCACTTCGTCCCGCGGCCCCCCTCGTGCCTTTCATTTCTCTCTCCCTCTCTCGTTAGTGTAGGCGAATAACTCTCCTGGGCCTTCGTTCAGCCGCCAGCAGCCATTCCAGCATGACTGCATTTTAGCAGCTCGAGTATCCAGGAGTATTACGGGCGTTCTGGCATAGGTATTCTTCTCCACGGATTCCCAAACAATTCGACACTATTGCGCCCCATAGAGAGAGAGAAACCTCGGCCGACATTTCCCCGAGGTTGCTGGACAGATTCTTTTCTACTGTGGCAAAATCTCCCTCTCTCTCTCTCTCTCGCTCTCGCTCTCAAGGCAGCGTCACATGAAACAAGCATTCTCGGTCGATTGGTTCGTCCTTCCGTACATGAAACAGGTATATTCTCCTGGGCGAATAGCGACAGTTCATAGTAATTCGGCTAATCGATCGATCGATCGATATTATTCGCGGTGACTTTCAGGCCAGTCGATTCTCTCTCGGAAGCACGAAACGGCCGATTGCAATTTCGCGGAAAGCACGCGAATTCCCGGATTATTTGCCCGCAAGCAGTGGTAAGATCGAGTGCCTGTCAGAATCCTTCTTCTCAACCCTTTCTCAGTGCACGATATGCTATGCATGTTGAATTCCTTGCTAATTTAGCCCACGAAGAGGCTCAAATTTTCAGTTGAGAAGGACGGGATCTTTCGCTCATAGAGAATTGAGCCGACTTTCAGGGCGAGCGAATTTTACTTAATATATCTTGTGTCTCTTTTGAACTTTGAGATGTTCCTTTCGATTCCGCGGCGTTCGCGCCTCCCTGCGTGATTGCACGTCCCTCAGTCAGCATGAACAGGGTCTATCGCGTACGTGCGTGCCCAAGGGCGTGTGTGTCAGGAGGTTCGGATGATGAGGCAGTTTATGCGTTTTTAACGACCCGAGGCAGGAGGGACCGAGCTCCCAGTCGGGGCACCGCCAAAGTTATGTTTAGGGGCTAACGATCATAGCTGGGCACGGCACACTGGTGGCCACACTGCGAACACATCGCGGCACCGAGTATCACCGAGCACTGCCGAATTGTAACGAATTGTAACGACCAAGAGCACTGAACACTATGCCCACCATGGCCACCATGGCCGAGCGCGTATCGCTAGCGCCAGCTAGCTGCGCGCCTCTATGAGCTGCCCTGTTCGTTACATTTTTTCTCTACCGTCTAATTAGTTCTTGCAGCTGGTGCGTTGGTTCAGCCATTAGTGCACTACGCCGCACTTGTTCGCGGCTCTTACGAAGCTTAACCTATCACTATCTCATTTTAATGATTTCCCACGTTATCAATCCGGCAAAGGAGAAACCATCAAGGTTATCATTAGATTTGTATACTGATTGTGCAAAAGACATAGAGATACGGGAATAGCAAATGTGTGAGTCGATTATCAAATATCAATGACTGTATAGTTCCTTTGACTTGAAGTCTTTCAAGTTGAAGGAAATCTCGAACTTTGGAGTTTGGATCTTTGGAGTTCGAAGTCTTTTTAAGCTCGAGGGGTCCTTCGCCTTCATAAATGGCTGATCGTTACTGGCGAGTAAAGAGAAACGGGAAGGGATGCAGAGGGAGGTCGTGCGAACCGAGTGGTTCCTGCTTCTCGTTTCCTGTCCCGCTCGCAGACAGGACAGGAGCTCTCTGTGCGTCTTAGACTTTCTGAATGGCACTCGATCAAGTTCATTCGTACTTTCTAACAGAGGAGTGAGGCCTGAAAAAATGGTGGGAAAGGAAATTCCTAGGTTGAACTAATTGTAAGTCAAAATGGCTGGAAGGCCTGGCCAATGACGACCGACTTGCCTCATAATCGTCATTTCATTAATTTTCGATATTGTTTGGTACCGATTCGGATGGCTCCGGGCCAATTCAGTTAAACAAGCTCGCATTTGCCGTTTCAGATAAGGAGGAACCTCCCGTGTCCCCCGAGAAGGTGCCTCCTTTGCCTCCTAATACCCTGAACCGCAAGACGTCATTATCCGTCCCCTCTCTGTATCGGGAATCGACACTGCTCGGAGAATCGGTATTACGGGGACACGTACGAACGACCGTAGCGAAACTCTTCTTCCTTTCCACCCACCCTAAGTGCCGGACCCAACGGAATAGCGACGGGAAACTGTCTTTGATCTTTCGTCGGCCGCTTGTGAACCTGCCTTCTTACGAGCAGTGCATACGAATCCATGAGTATCGAGACCTATCTGGACGAATACTTATGGGGCATAGGTATTACTATACATACACGCAGGGTGCATCTCCGCGAACGAGCAGATTTACTCTTGCCGCTTGGACGAAAGACTCATAGATCATTCGAGCCGTCCGAAAGCCATCGGACGCGCAGGCAGAACTGGAGAACCAAGATGAAGGGAGAACCACTTTGCTTGGAGTTGTTGAGAGATGATTCTTCGGGTCTCGGATCATCCGGCGGTTCGTCGGTTCCTCGGTTCGTCAGTTCAGCTGCGGTCTTGCAATATATTTTGCGTCAGTCATTAGTCTATCTCGGTCCAGGAACATTCATTAGGTGACTCGGCTTATTCGCAGCCACATTTGCTATTCTGCTACCCGCCCTTCTTGCTTGCTTCTTGGCTCTTCTCCTTATATACAAACTTTCCTCGTCGCTCGCTTCGCTCTTCTGCAACCAAAGAAATTGGGCTGACGATCTATCCCAATACGGAACAGCTTTTAGTTTCACCTGTTTTTTTACCTCTTCCCTATTCGGAGCAAATCTCACGTACATGACGAAACTGTCGTTCTGTATTTTCTCTTTCGTGCGAGTAGCTCAACTTCCGGTATTAGTGCCGCACTGTCTTGACGTCATCATCAAATCGACCCAGAGATATCGTGTCTGGCTTCACGCGCAAGTATTTGCGCACACACTCACTCACCCTCCGTATGTGCATGCTGCCATTACGTTATCAGCGCGGTTGGATTTCTCTCGGATAAGGAAGCCAGCGTGTGCGATGACGCGCGAAAGCTACCGAACATGCCCGAAGGCACCTTCAGATCCGATCGAGTCGACTTTCAGGCATGTCCTGCCTGAAAGATCCACCGAGCGATCTTAGGGTGCATAAGACTCGATCGGCAGACGCCTTCCACGGCGAGATATCAAAGGAGAACTTTTCCAAGAGAATGGCTCGCTCGAGCGTGCCTGATAATCTTCGGCTGGGAGTTTATTCGCGGAACGAAGCTGCTCCTCGGGCTGAGAGATAAAAAGACGTGATACGCGCCCGTCCCAGGATCCCTGATGAACATCGATTTTGGGCCGAATACCTAA